TGGCTGCGAGTGCTGGGGCGGCCCGCGCCCGTCGAGCACGCCAGGGGCGAGCTGGAGGCCTAGGGACGGGCTGGAGGCCTAGGGGCCTGCTGGTCCCGCGGCCACGGCCCGGCCTTGGAAAGCCGCTGGCGGCTGAGCGAGGGCCGTGTCCTGTGCGGTGCCCTGGGCCCAGGCCCTGCTGGGAAGCCCTCAGCTGCCTCCCTGCCAGGGCCACCCGTGTGGGGGAAGAGCCGCTCTCAGAAAAGCAGAAGAGACACCACTGAGTGGGCCATTGCCTACGGGGGAGGCGCAGAGGGGTGTTGCTCCGCCAGCGGGTGACGGGCCCAGGTCGGCCCATTTCTTCCACCCATTTTGTTGGCCAAGTCTGAACTGGAGCCTGTGGGCAGGGGTGGTCCTGCCTCACACCGTGTCCATTACACCTCCTGGGGAAGATGTGCTGCGCTCCTTAGTGCGCCCCGAATCACGCCCGCCTCCTGCAGCTGCCGCAGCCCGAGAGCTGTCGCTTTCGTGGTACTTTGGGGAGGAGATGATGTTCACTCCGCGCCTCTTCAGTATCAACCCACCTTGTTGCTTAAAGGCTGCGTTTCAAACAATGGCTAAACCCAACCGCTGAAACACGGCCACGGAGCTACTGTTGCTTCAGCCAGTCCGGCTGCCCAGAGGAGTGGAAAGGCCACAAGTATTCAAGTCTTCAGCATAACTTCTGTGGAGCGCTCGGGAAAATAAAACAGGTAAGCGATACTTGTCCACTTTTAAGTCAAACAGCTGGTCCCCACTGGGCACTGGTGACCATGCTAATATGCGCGGTCCTTGCTCTCGGCAGCAGCTTGTGCCAATGTACCTCCACTCTCGCGTCCACCTCTGGCTGCTGCCGTTCAGCATCCTCAGCGGACACTTGTTGGTTTTTCTCCTTTGCAGCTTGTTGCTGCCCGTGCGGTTTACAAAACCCAACTTAATGAACATGAACAGGCATTTTGGATTCTAGGAAAAACCTGAACTACCTCACTTTGAGGAGGAATTCCTGTGTGTAGAAACCCCACAAAAGATCTGTTTTCCCTACAAAACAATCATTTCAACTTGGAAGAGGATGTCCCTGGGGTGCGTACGCTGACCGCGGTGAGCCCTGCAAACAGAGGGGCTGCAGAGCAGGAGCTTCCCCTGTAGCGGGATGCAGGGCTGCTCCAGGGAGGGTAGAGGGGTTGGGAGGAAGGCGAGTCCCAGGAGGGTCTCCTTAGATGCCTTTGCAATACCAGGGTGATCTGCTAAGGAGGTTGCAGCAACCTCCCTGCCAGGCGGAAAAGAAATGGGCCAGTTTGGGGTGATTCCTGGCCCACAGGGAGCTGCAGGGAACCCCCGCTGCCATCCCAGGGCTGAGTCTCCCATCGGGGGGGTCCCAGCCCTATTCCTGCGCACTGACGGCTGGGGGGGCACCGCATCCCCCTGCGTCGGTGCCTGGGGGCTGTGCATGCCTGCCTCGGCCACTCGAGATGTGATCAGAATCAGTAACGCTTTGGGTGATGAAATCCCCTCCAGCTCTATGTAATCCCCTCACTGCCCCCCTCCATCCCCACACTGTCCCCTCCATC